CAACAGGTCGGCAAGGGCCTCCTGGGCTCCGACCAGGTGCTCTACTCCGACATGAGGTCGCGCAGCACGGTCGATTACTACGTGTCCAACCAGGGTGCCTTCTTCAGCGATTTCGTGGCGGCGATGACCAAGCTCGGGAGGATCGTGGTCAAGACGTCGGCTACCGGCGGCGAGATACGCCGGGACTATCGGTTTCCGAACTAGTTTCTAGTTAATCACGCTGGCAATGCTGCCTCGACGCATTGAAACGAATATGAAGCAAATAAATGGAGTCCGTGTGCAAGTTGACAAGTTGCCACATAACATTTGTTCGACATAAGTTTCGGACGACGACATTTGTTCGACATAACCAACTAAGTCCCAGAAGTGTAAGGATTCCTCGGACGCCTCTGTCTCTTCGGATTTGTAGACAACATATTGGGAGTGTAGCCAACGTCGATGTGGTCGCGTTGCTGGTGCGTACGGCTTGTACCCTGCAAGTATATGATATGCACGATTACTTATAATCTGTATGATCGTTAGTTCATGGAGCCTACGTATTTAAAGAAATTACCTTTGTTACTACCTGTGAGGCTCCTTGGGTACCAAGCGGGGCACCACCTAGCTGAGACATATCGATCTCGTCCTGCTGCCAATCGTCCCACTAGTGGTGCTGTATGCGGAAGCTTGGGGGGTCGTCGTCATCGTCATCCTCGTTTGCAGGGTCCTTCCCAGCGCTATGATGTGGTGGTGTACGCACTGCGGAAGCGGCATCTGTCACTAGCTGAGAAGAGCCGGCTGGTGTCCTCAACGAGCCAGAAGACGTGCCACCCGACCGCGCCGGGTAATCGGGTTCCACCCAAAGAGTGTCCATGCAGCTCTTCTTCACCTTCTGCATAAATAGACGTTAAAGTTAGTGCATTTCCTAAATGCATATACACTAAAGAAATATTTTCGAAACGGACAAGTTTATGTTTACCTCCACAAAAGCCTTGAGAACGCCTGACCCCTGCCCTCTAGACTCGTGAAGCCGAAACGCGGCTTCGTTGGACAACCTTGACAATTGTGTCGCCTGGGTACAGAAACGCGGTTGGATAGTTTTAGTACACATACTTAATACCAAATGGATAACAAATTGTACCATTTGAGTATCTTACCATGTATCTTTGAAGCGGGGCTCTCTGTAGTTGTGTGTCGTCCCTAGTGGCAACGTCGTACAAATCTTTCTCGTCGTCCTCGTCAATCGCCTCCTTAGTGTACGGGGGCTTGATGTGTCCTCGTAGACGTGTGAAGCCACCGCAGGTACTCGTCGAAGGTGTGCTGGTCGTGTGGGGGACCCGCATCGACCGGCTGCCGGTCCCTGTTCTGCCACAACTGGATGTACGCGTTGTGTGTCACGCGCCAATCCTTGGTCTTGTACCTCTTTCTGCGGTCATACCTGCAACAAAACGATTGTTAGTTGTACCATACACACCTTTGAATTGTAGCTTTGTTATTAATCGATAACGAACCCGTGCAATTCTTGGTTGGTGGAGTAAAGCGGTGGTGGGTAGCCTGTCATTCTTCCAAACTGCCTGTAAACCTTGATGGACAAGTGAATCTCGACCACGTGGAAGAAAATAAGAGGGACGTTGTAGCGATACTTGTCTGACTCATCCCTAGTGACAGGACTCAGATAGTACTGGAGCTCCGGAGCATCCCAAGGACACCAATGCACCTGAACATTTCGTAATTGAGTTAGGTTGTGATATAGTGTATATCGAACAAGACACATGTATGATAGTAAAGAGAGCGTAATCTGGTGTTGTGTCAGGACGTCGAGACAGTCCGTATACTCCCTGTACTTGCGCCTCGCATTCTTTCTAACTAACTCTGCTTGCGTCCAGATATACAGAGTTGTAGAGAGTGTATCCTGCCCGTTCCAATGCTGCATTGAACACGATAATGAATTAGCCATTAATAATTTCATCATATGTAACTGCCTCGAAGAATATAGTGAACCGAAGTACTTACCGGTAAACCAGTAACAAGGGGCCTCCCAACAGGTACTTACCGGTAAACCAGTAACAAGGGGCCTCCCAACGGGCCATCGTTCCCAACACCAAACCTGGAGTAGGTAGGATCAACCCCAAGGTTCACATACCTTGAGGTGCGACGACAGCCAACGTATAGCTGTCGATACGTCCATGCCAGGACTGTGCTGCCCCAGCTATACGCCGCTATGTTATCTCACTACTGGCGTAGTATGTCAAGAAAGATCCAGCTGATGGTGTTACCCGAGGCGTCTGGGAATAGGAAAGCACCAAGGAAGTGCCAGAGCCACACTCTAGCGAACCTGTCGACCTGAGCCTCATCAGCCTGTGGGTCCAAGTAATCGAAGCGCTCTGTGATCCACGACGAAACACCAGAAATTTACCAAAGAAAATGAGACCCGATGGCTGCAGGAAAGCAATGCAAGTATTAAATAGGCTTGAATTGCTCACTTATTTTTCTTAGTAACCTCATCGTCCGGTGGAAGAAAGCCAGTGAACTGAGCCACCAGCTCCCTCCAGTGATCGTTGTCAACTATACCTGTCACCGGAAGTCCCCCCAACCGAAGGCCAAAGATAGCCTTCACGTCTTGTATGGTCAAGGTCATCTCGCCGCAAGGTAGGTGGAACGTGTGGGTCTCAGGCCTCCACTTGTTATAAGAATAGAACGACTGTTAGTTACCTCAAATTTGTTATAAGAATGTTTAAGTACAATGAAGGCACTCGCACCTGTCTACAGCTGCAGTAAGTAGTGCTGGGTCAAGGGGCAGAAGACCGTAGTTGACAACACGGACAAGCTTGAGGAAGCCGGCACGTCGTATGTACGGCGCGTAACGCTCGTCCCACTGGTGTGCCCTGGTGTGCGTGCAGGGCCTCAAAGGAGGCAAGGGCGCCTCTGCGTCGATGTCAATCAAGAAGTGTGCTCGGTACGGGTCGTCGTACTCCACCTCAAGAAGGGGGTACAACGGGTGCTGCGTGGGAGGGGCCATCCTGTTATAAATTGATAAACAAAGGGTTAGAGTATTCAAATTGATAATATTCAAATTAACATTATGCAGCATTGCAAAATTTGAATTACTTGTTATGCAATACGAACGCAATATGAAAGCACATATATATATTCAAAGTAACATTAACAGACATATTAAATAACTTCACTAGGAAAATAAGCAATTTCTATGTATAGTTGTTTAGACACAAGACAACTAGAAGATGCCATAACTGCATTTGCTATATAGCTTTCCTTTCTTTTTCATTGCACTGTTGATTTAAAGTATATAATTTACACAATCTATAATTGGGGAGATGCCATAACTGCATTTGCTATATAGTTTTCCTTTCTTTCCTCTCATGATAGCCCGTTTCCATCCACCAGAAGCGACGGCCTTTCCCCACTCGCTCCCGACATTTAAGCATTTACGCCCAACTTGAAAAGACAAATTAAAGCCACGGCTTTGCGTTTGCGAGTACGCTAAAAGCTTCTTTGCCAACTTTAGAATGAAAACGAATACGGATAATACGGGAAGCTATTCACGGCACCGCGCTAATGAGTATGCTAGAGGTTCCGTTACTGACTGCTATACGAAAACGGATGAATGTATCTATGGGAGGGTGAACGTATCTATGGACAATTTAGGAAAACAAAACCATGGTTTCGTGCCGCTTAGTATGCTAAAAGCAACTTTGCTAACTTTAAAATAAAAATAGATACAGATAATAAAGAAAGATAACCGTAGCCCCACGATAATAATATATATACTAGAAGCTTCTTTGCCAACTCTAAAACGAAAGGTGATGAATATATTTTACAAAAGAAATTTAACGAAACATACACGCAGAATTCATTGCACACGAGACTGTTGATATCCCTAACAAATACCTATATGAATTTTACAAAACCTTACTGAATTTGTGAAAAAATACCTATGTGCGTGGCCGGAGGGCACGACGGGCGGCCGGAGGGGTGGTGGCGGCGGCGTGCGTGTGGTGGCCGGCGTGGTGGCGGCTAGCTAGCGGGCGGGCGGCGTCTTGTGGCGGCAAGCGGTGCAAGCAGAGGGAGGGCGGCTCATTGGCGATATTTACTGGGCACATCACACGTGTGGGCTATGGCGCGGCATTTGCCGCGCTTAAGATCGGTAATGTGGCGAAACTCGCCACGTCACCGGTCAGCGCCCCCGGTCTTCGCCACGTCATACTCCCGTCGCGCCACCATGCATGGCGCGGCACAGGCGTTTCGCCGCGCCATGGCAATAGGCGCGGTCAAAAGTGTTAGTTTTGGAAAAAAAACAGTGTTAGATTTAAAATTAGTTTACAAAAAGTGTTAAAAAAAAAAAATCCATATTTCACTGCCTCTGGTCACCTTTTAGTAGACTAGTAGTAAAAGTTCTAGTCTTTTTGTATATTGTTGCTGCAGGCAATATCCCTAAACAACAGTTATCGAAATGATTTTGAATGTATTAAGAAAGCAGCCAAATGTATCTGAGAGTGGAAGGTTTTATATTTTGTGCGAAATGTCATTGGTCTCCGATCCAACCTAGGAGGAACTAGTTGGTTTTTCATTGAGAAGAAGAAATTGCCACCCAAATCTAAGTTGAACAGGACTCGAATCTGGGTGGTTGGAATGCACACCAAACCTGTCACCCTGACTAGCTAAGCTAAGGCACACTTCCATTCCTGTGATAGTCAACTCCTGCTATAGATTAAGTGTTGCCTGTTGTGTAATTCTAAAAAATGGCATATGATGAAAAATACGAAATCGTATATGATGTGGTTGTAGAACTTATAAGTTATTCCAGTTGCTCAACTAAGTTCTACTGCATAAGTTTTTCTTTTGAAACATATAATAATGTTAACATGCGTAGCTGAAAATCTTTCATTGCAGCTGTCCAACTTTGAGTGAGATGTTATATGTGCCTTGCTTTCTGTTGGTTTGATGATGGCTGCTTTTGTTTGCAGGAAAAGTGTAAGTAAATGAGGAAGACCATCTTTACCATGGGGGAGTTCAATTTCATTGTCTTGTATGGTGCTGGGATGCAAATATGGTATCGTGCTTTTCATTTTTCCACATCCATCTGTTGCCAGGTTTATTCTGGAGCCAAAATCAGTTCTGTTTAATGAGCAGGAGCAAAAGCTTAATGACAGTGAGAGTGCGATAGCTTCAATGCAGGTATGCTTGATCTCTGATCCCCTGTCTTACCAGATTGTGTCAAGATTGCGAGAGAGATAAGCATAGATTTCTCACTGCTTTTGTCTGTTATTGTCTGATTAGACATCCAAAGAATACCTTGAGAAACAGCTGGGCGAAGTGGAGAACAACATTAGGGAGCTGCTTCAACAAGATCCAGGGCTTGCGCGTCAGATCCTCTCAATGACCGTTCAATGAGAGTTGTTTTTCTTTGAATTTATTTTCAGATAATTTGTAATGTTGCAGTTTGATCAGTCATGCTGTGGTCTTGCCTGATCTGTGAGACGTGCGCGGTCTGTATGGTCCATTTCATGTACGAACAGAAGAATTTGCAGTTGTTTCCGGCAGCACTGGCTTAAGAACGATCTTTAGAGCTCTTTTGGTGTGGCTCCTGCACCGGCTCCTCCTACGTTGGCTCGGGCACCGGAGCTGGCGGAGCCGCACCAAACATAGCACATCCGGAGCCCTTTTCACGGGAGGAGCCGGAGCCCGGAAAAGTGGCTTTGCCTTGGGGCTTTGGCTCCGACTCCGGAGCCACGCAGGTGAAGACCTTCTAAACGGGTCCTTAGATTTTTTTTTTTATATTTGTATATGGGTGTGCCAAGGTGGCAAGGTCTCCCAATCCTCCCAGATGGCAGACGCGGAAGTTACACGTGTTTTGGAGATATGTTTGTTTTGATGAGGGGGTATTAGATCATCTGACCCCTTGTCAAAAAAAAAAAAAATCATCTGACCCTAGATCCGAATGCAATCTGATTTATCAATCTAGGGTAACACCGAATGCAATCTGATTGATCAATCTAGGGTAACACCTAACTTCCTCTTTTGGAGCTTTTCTTTTATCGCCTGCTCCCTGGATTGTTTATGGATGTGCCAAATCGATTTGAGCTATCATTCCTTGGCTACAAACACAAAATTCACATAAGGTAATTCATAGACTAGAATTACTACTAGGAGGAGCAGCAGGAGCAGGATAATGAGGCAATTTGTGCATGTGCCAAATCGACTTGAGCTATATCATTCTTTGGCTAAACGCAAAATTCAAACAAGTAGTATGTATACTAAAATTAATACTAGGAGCAGGATAAGTAGGAGATGAAGAATATGGCAGTCTTTGGCAGGGCTCTTTGCCCTGCGCCTCTCCGGCTCCCGCTGCACTGTGGCAACTGTAGCACGATAAAAGGGCTCTAGCCCCTCAGCACAAGAGACGAGCAGACGGAGTTGCTTTTTCTTGGCTCTTCGGCTTCATGCTACAGCGCACTATAGTGCCAGAGTTGGGAGATTCTTGGCAAGCAGGCTCTATGTGTTACTACTATTCTAAATTGTACGTCATTTTGGTTTTTTTCTAGGTATACAACTTTTGCTACGTATCTAAATATATATTATATCTGAATACATAGTAGAAGTTATGTCTCTAAGAAATTAAGCCACAACACATTACAATTTGGAAATGAGGGAGTACTTGCCATTGCCAATAATGGCTTCCTTTGATTCATTGGTATTTCAAGGTTCAACTATATAACACAAAATAGGTGGAGATAGATGATTTAATCCCAAGGTACTGGGGGTATTAAAGGCATCAAAGGTGCATATGTGAGATGACAGATCGGACCATGGTGAACTGAGGCATATTGTGAGAAACTTCCCAAATTAATTCAACTAAACGGTGGCATCAACCATTTGATTAGCTCGGTTTAATCAAATTAATCCCAATAGTCGTACACACTACTGGTACAATATACGAGGATTGAGTTTACATGTCGTACAAGATTAGCGCTAAATCTTTTTGGGCTTTGCAAGCGCTCGGACGTCGGGCGCGCGAGGACACGTCTGGGCGCCCACGGCTACTACCCGCACTTTTCATTTCGTCCCATCAATCAATTTTGCAGCCGCTGGTCCCACCGACTCCTGTTGTTGTTACGCATGTCTCTAGGCTACAGGGCTCTCTCGCTCGATCACTTGTATGCATGGTTGCATGCAGCTCCTACCCGCCCGTCGTAGGCTGTTGCTGCGCCTGGCCACGTTCTGCTGTCGTACTGCCCGTGCGTTGTCGCTGCTGTTGCCGCCGCATGTTGCTGCTACGCGCCCACCGGCCTAGCCCCGCCTGATGCTGTGCTACGCATGCATCTGCTACCACATCTGCTTCACTTCCCGCACATGCGGGGACCACCTCTGCCTACTCACACTTTCCGCGTCCGCTCATGGAACACTTGCCAACATGAAACATTTGTTGCAACGTACATCTGAAATAGATGAAACATTTAGAACATTTTTTGCAACATATGTGTATGGCCACTGCAATATGCAACATCCAGATAAAATACTTGCAACATACGTTTGAAACAACTGAAACATTTGGAACATACCATTAGAACATACGTGTATAGGTAGTACAACATATATAATATCTTTGGGAAGTAATCACCCTGTTCGCTGATGCTGAAATTTGACTTATACTGATACTTATGCTGAAATATTGTGAGAGAAAAACACTCTCCACAGATAAAAAGTAGTTGGGAATAAACTCAAGCGAACAGGTTAAATGTTTTTTCTTTGCTCGTTTAACACGAACACGATGCTAGTCTAGTGGTTTGGTTTGTTGTCTTGTTCGTATCATTACATTAATTATATTATATTATTGGCAACCCAGGTTCAATTCCTACTTGACACATTATATTTTTCTGGGCGCCTGCATCAGTGCCTGCCTCAAATGGACAACGACCCACCTACTTTTCTGGGTGCTTGCAGCAAATGTAGACCCAGTGCGAGCATGACAAGGCCGAAGCCCGAAGTGAAGGGACTCTGGGCCGAGGGAAGGAGATGAAGGAGTTGGGCGTGCAACAATAAATGAAAAAAATACTTCCGAATTTACGACGCAGCAGTAGTCTCGTGGTAATGCATGTTTGGTTGTTCTATGAGTGCTTGGGTTGCACCACATTTTTTATTTTTTCCTCCTCACCAAATACATGATAGGGGGCATAGTATATTGTTTTTAATTTTCTAACTACACTAAATACATGATAATAGGCCTAGTGTCTTGGGCTTAGGACAATGGGCTCTTGGATTCAATTCCTACTTATTTCATTTTTTAATATATTTTTCCCTTCACATTTTTTTATTTTTTCTTCACACCAAATACATGACGTAGCCGTCCTATTGTTTTGGCCTTTTGGGATCGATTCCTACTTGGCTTAATTTTTTTTATTTTCCCTCGGCACCAAATACGTAATAGCAGGCCCATTGTTTTGGGCTGACTGGAGTATGATGATTTTAATTTCATAAACTGTGACTGTCCAGATAAAATCGTCACGAGTTATCGGGCTTGGTATCCACTTGTGTAGATCCATGATGGAAAATATAGGACCGTCACAGATTGTGCATTGTTAGTGACGTTCTCCGAATCCGTCATGGATTAAGAGGTTTCTTATAGTGGCAAATATACGTCCAGATAAAACACTTCCAACGTACGATTGAAATAGCTGAAACATTTAAAACATACACTTGTAACATACATGTATAGCCATTGCAACATATGCAATATCTAGATCTACTTTTGCAACATACATCTAGAACATCTGAAACATTTGACATATATGTGACTCTAACGTATCAGGGCCCATACAAATATTTTATATGTGACTCTAACATATCAGGGCCCATACGAAAATGGTTGTTATTTACGTTAACCATGCTAAGTTGACTCGCAATATAATCAGGCTTGTAGGGACCCGCCGCGTTAATTCACCTAAATCGAGTGTCACCCACTTGACCAACTCAATTTAAGCAAACAAACATCGGTGTCCACTATCAGGATCCTGGTTGAGTATCATACCACGATAGCCTCCACATAACAAGATCACATCTCAGCAACGGAGTACATAAATAAGCAGAAGACATATATTAAAAGTCTTGATGAATATTCTGAATTAATTATACAACATGGGACTAAATGTGGTGAGAACCAAACGACCATCTTACCGGTTACATCTACACTAAGTTATACACTATTTCTAGTAACGGGTGGTCGCCTTGCCCATGGGTGTCGCCACTATAGCTCGGACAACTACTGCCATTCACCCACTTTGCCACCAACGACGGGGTGAGATAGTTGCCAATGTCCTTTACCTGTAAAAATAACTTAACAGCAGCACCGTGAGTACATTGCGTACTCATAGAACTTAATTCCAACATAAATTTGGTGGATGCAATAGGGATTAATAGGCATTTGTTTATTTGCATAAAAGCATGGCGTTTATTAAAAGATGGCATGCTCATGAATCATAATTAAATTAATCAGCAATTATAAGTTCATGACAAGTAGTAATGAATAATATAATTAAAGTGATCAACATTATAATTTATCTTATAATCAAGTTTCATCACCAACACTACAATGGGTCTAGAAGGAAGAACAACCGGTTCCGTTCCGAAGGACTTCAAGCTTTCAACACTCTATGCAGAGGGTGCAAGTATACCCACACGGAGAATGGGACAAACCACTATACCGTGCTCGAGTAAGGGTTGTCTCACGTCTCCAACCTTTCCCTAGTCTGGCCAGAATATCCACAAAAGGTTCGACTGGTGCCCGGTTAATGCTACCACCATCTAACCGGCGCCACCTTCTTGCCAGTCTCACGGATAGACCGATCGCAACTAGTTACTTGGCTTGCCGCACCCATATTTGACATGTGGTCTGTATGGGTGGTTACTCAAATCCACTATCCCAATAAATAGTCCTTAATTACTCCACAAGCTACATCACTTGAGATCCCATACTCACAGTGACCTTACCCCTCGCTTGAGTAGAGATTACCAAATCGGTCATCATGATTATAATTCAAGTTGGGGTTGGTCTTTTGGGGTAGGTTTTGGAAACCAAGTCTTTTGAAAACCCTTTGTTTGGTGAAACAAAACAATTTCAGAAACGAGTTCAAATCAAAAGGTTTGATACTTGTTTTTAGTTTTTTAAAAATAAAACATTTCTTTTTTGAAAGGTAAAGCTTTCGCAAAGCAAATTTGGTTTTCCCAAAACCTTTTTAAAGCAACACTTTTGAACTAGAAGAGATCAAGATTTTATAAAACAAAACCTTTTCACAAGCATTTTGTTTGATAAACCATTCACAAATTATTTTGGAAACAAATTGATTTTTGAAAAGGATTCAGACTCTCTTTTGAATAGGGAAAGACCTACCGAAAGG